AAGAAGCAGCAAGTGCTAAACACAAGGTTTACAGAATCAAGAAAACGACTGTGAAAAATGTGAAGGAAAACATCAAAACAGGACCCAGAACTCTTCTTGTACGCTTTCCCAAATGGCAAACTGTGAGGCCAAATATTTAATTCACAAGCCCCTGATTCTAAAATATCAATTTGAATGAACATGGAACTAAATGTAAAGTACTAATAAGGTATTTTCATCTATTTCTTTTTGCTTTCTAAAAAATAATTTCATTTTGCAATGCATCTTATTTTCACTAAGGAAAACGAGCCACAGATAAGTTTTTTCTCTTTTACAAAATTTCACAGTGAGATAGGGGCAAAACAATAACATTCAGATGTTTTTGCTCTGAGCCTAGGATCCAATCAAGAAAATTACATTTTAATAGATCCAATTCTTTGGTATGAATGAAGATCAGGTCTTGATGGAATTTGAATCCCTGAACACCACTGCTGAAGGAAACCACAATGCAACCTGAGCTAAGGTAAAATCAGTAATTGTCAACAGAAAGGTTAGGTCTACCCTGCAGATTTCTATCTACTAGAAAACAAAATCTTAACACGCTTCCTACAAATTTCCAAGAATTTGACTACAGCCACAAAACCAGAAAGATCCATTAACATTGAAAACATTTTACAATTCAAAAGATCTCCCAAAAGTGAGCATCTGTGAAAGGAAAATCTTTTTCTAGACCTCAAACCAAAAAACTTATTCACATCATCCAATATTCTCACTAACTGAGAACTAGATACTTAAGTATTTAGTATGCTAAATACTTTGGTATTACACACTGGTCAGCTGATGGATGTCAGTCATGTTCAAGAGAGGGTTTAGCTACAGCTACATTCAAAGCTGTCTTGGTGTGTCCATCCCTGTCTGTTATATTTCAGCACTGACAATTTCAAATGCACAAAATTATGAAGCCACCTACAGAAAGAATGTTTCATTTAAAGTCTCAGTGTTTTCAGGCGGGAAAAAAATCTTATTTAGTTCTCTAATTGGCTGTTTATAATTTTGGATACCAGTCACCAAATGTTTATGAGGCTTTCAAATCATGTTTTTGCATTTTGCTAGCTATAAATGTATCATGTATTTTAACATGGCAACTGGGATTTCAGGTAATGATACAAGTCTAACAGCTGTGGATAATTCATCAATGGTGTCACAATAAATGGCAATATTTTAAATACAGTTTGAGCATGATTTTTTATGTAGTTAGCTCAGTCCTGCTGGTGGCCAAGGAAGTAATAGAAATATTAATTTATGTTATATTTAATATAAAACTATTGCTAATTATTTTCAGGCCTCCATTCAGATCACTGTTAGCTCATTATGAGCAACACAAACTTTGAAGACAACTTTGTATCTCTGAAAGTACAGCTAGCTACCATTAATTAAATCTCACCTTTAATTAATCTTAAAAAGGTTTTCACACACTGGGCAGGGACAATGAGCTAAAAAAATCACATTCTATACTATTTCATATTTATCTAATTTCTAAATTTAAATAATTTCAATAGTTATAATTTATGACTAAAAAAAAAAACACCTGTAGCTTCAGCTTCTGGTCAATAAGCCAGTACCACAAGCACTCCTAAAATTACAGGAAAACATGACTCTGATCATGTCAGACTCAGATCACCACCATATGTTATAGAAAAGAGAAATCATTGCTAGATACTGTTACAAAGGCATTCCACAAAACAGAAGTCTGATATGTCTTCTAACAAATTACATGAACCTTAAATGTTGTGTCAAAATTATGGGAATCAGGAGCACTTCCCACGTCTGGTCTGTCTCAAATGCCTGCTGGGATGGACAGACATGCACCATGTCCCTGCACCCCTTGGTTTCCTATGGAAATGTAGGTGCCCAGGTAGGCAGGGAGTGGAATTGCACTTCCACAGCCCCTTTGCTCTAGACCACTGGGGAGGATTAGAATACAACCCAAACTGAATTTTCCCCCTCTTTATGGGCAGCAGTGGGACTAAATTTGGAATCCTTAGCTCAGGAAAAAACCTGTTATACCACTGCCCCATCCTTACACCTGCCCCCACCACCCTTTTAAAAGAACACTCTGCAAATTGTTAATATCTTTCTGCAAATTGTTAATATCTTTCCTAAATGTAGTGAATTTCATAACTCTGAAGTCCTACAATTCTGGTGACAAGAGTAAAACCACCTGGCAGATCTAACATCCATCCACTCACTCTGTCACAACTGCACCTGGGCCTCAGAGATCTGGATGTATTTTTGACAAGAAAACACAGGGTATCAAAAGTTGGCCATCAATATGTCACTTCAGAAATCTTTATTCCTTGTTTTATATGTGTAAAAGCACAGATAAAGCACAGAAATATTAGCTAAAGATTTCTACAGCGACCTGCATTCAAACAGTATCTAAAAAAAAGGGGAAAAAAAAAAAGATTTAAAGTAAAAATGACAATACAGAAAGGAAGGTGTGAAACACATGAAGCCTTTGAAGAACATGACTGTGCCTATTAGGAACCTCTGACATTCAGCTGAGATTGTGACTGTGGCAACACAATGAAATGCAGCAAGGCGTTCTTAGAGGAGGTGAAAGAAAAGAAACAAAGCTGGTGAGAGGTCTGGAGCACAAGTCTGGTGAGGAGAGGCTGATGGGGCTGAGGGTGGTTAGCCTGGAGGGAAGGAGGCTCAGGAGGACCTTATCACTACGACAACACAAAAGAAAGCTGCAGAGGTGGGGTCAGTATTTTTTTGCAAGGAAGAAGTGATAGGACAAGAGGAAATGGCCTCAAGTCGTGCCAGGGCAGGTTTAGATTTGATATAAAGGAAACATTTCTTCATCAAAAGAGTTGTCAAGCATTGGAACATGCTGCCCCGGGAAGTGGCTGAGTCACCATCCCCTTCAAAGGTATTTAAAAGATGTAGCACTCTGGGACATGGATTCATGTGAATCTGGCAATGCTAGGTTGGACTTGATGATCCTAAGAGTGTTTTCCAAACTAAATGATTCTATGATTCTAAAGAATAAGCTTTTAAGTTTCATAGTAACCCAGGGTTGAAGTTTGGAAGCACAAAATAATAGGAAGACGTATAAAAACCTTTGACAAACCTAGAAAGATCTGTAATAGTTTCACAATAATTGGAAGCTGGACAGAATCTGTAGCATGGTACAGGATATCAGAGACCACAGTTTAACTGCTGATATTTCAGTAGCACTGTCTGCAATGCACTTCCACTGTAAATTACATTAGGTAGAAGTGTCATCTCTTAGCCTGCTTGCCAAATATAAGGGGCAAAACTCAGGTTATATTCTGAATGTATTTTTCTTCAATGCAGCTAACATCCAAATTCACCTTGTCTACAACGAGAAGGACAAATAAGCAACTCAGTTTAGAACTCCTGCCAATATTTTTCTCCAGATCAGCAGCACTATGAACCCAGCATCTCTTTTCAGAGCTACCTCTTGGCTGCTAAACAAATTCTGGAAATCTGAATCCATTCATGAACTTGGATTTCTAATGTGGCAAGGCACCATGCCTCAAAGTGCCCCCTCCAGTAGCTCTAGAAAGACATGCACACTGTCCTTAAACTGGCACACATCACTGTAGCTTGGGTTACACGTGGCAAAGCTTCTCTCTGCCCTATCCAATAACAGGGGAGGCTGCCACTGCCACAGGGAGTATCAAGACACTAAATTAAGGACACTAGGAAGAGAATGGATGAATTGAAGGAAATTAGCTAAACCAACAATGGGGTCAGAGACCTGATGTCATGTAAACCAGTCACTGTGTATCTGTAAGATTCCCCTTGCAGCTTTTCAACAAAACTGACCAAAAAAAAAAAATCTTTCAACATGTTGAAATATGAAATATTGCTGCTGGATGACTGCTTCTTTATAAATGATTGGTCAAAAGCTTTGGAAAGTCCATGTATCTCCTGATTATTAAAAAAAAAAAAAAGAATAATTGCAAAACACCCATCTGAGTTATTTTTTGTCTATATTCTGTTTGGTTTTTTTCTATTTACAGATGATACATCAGGGACAAATCAAATTGTATTAAGGATGAATAAATGAAGATCATAAATAATAGCTCCCCAAAGTTTACTGGTCCTATTATTTTGATCCAAGGTAAAAAGCAGACTTTGGATTTGTCAGATGTTTGGATGCTAATGGAAAATTCAGAGGTATTTTAACCATCTTAATCCATAACTAGAATTTCCCCAGTATAAAATCTCAAACACAAGTAAATTGAGGGGGGGAATATCCTGCATAATATTTTATCTGAATAGTACATTAATCTTCTGACAGGTAGAACTCCTACATATGTACATGTGCCATAGGGTAGAGAGGATACCAGTGACATTCACTTCCAGAGCATGCATGCTAGAAACTCAGCTCAGTCCTGATGAACACTGACTTCCACCTGGGGCTTGAAACATATATAGATATAGATATATACATATATATATATAAAACTCTCACTGAAATGAGTGCACTGAAGGCTTATATAATGAAAAAGACATTTTCATACAGAAAATGTGAAGTATTTTTCCATTATAATTTGATAGCTGCCTATGAATGGAATTCTGCTTGCTAAATCTTGAATAGGTGCTGCACAAGGGGTAGATTTCTGAAAATACTCTAACCTTCTTCAAAATTGCTAAACACAAAAAAAGGGTGAATATTTATCCTTCCTGAGATAATTTCTCAATATCTCCTAAAATTTTAGTAAGAGTGTAAAATGCAAACACTTATTCTGCAGCTGCTTGGGGGAAAGACAGCTGTGTTGCAGAAGGGCCAAAAGGGCTACACAATCCTCTTCATGTCTCCACACTTTGTTATGGGTTTACTAAAATCTCACAAATTCAGACAGAAATCGATCAAGTGTTACCCTGGAATGTAACATAGGCAGTACTTATGACACTGGCAGCATTTCAGCCACATCATCCTGTGGTGCAGTGTTCAATAGCCCATGGTCAAACTCACAACTCACCTTCTGCATCTTCTGGCCTTGTAAGATCGATGACACCGGGGCCAATTTTTCCATCTTCATTGGGTTTCCCTGTTAACTGAGGGCCTAAATTTTCAAACCTTGTTCTTTCCTGGAAAAGAACAGAAGGACTCTTAATGTTCCATATAGGAAAGTTCTCATTATATGCCAGTGCATATGGATATGCATTGATACATGCCTTATTTTTTAAATCTGAACAAATAATGAATGCATCTAATTAGAATTTTAGCTCAGGGACAATTTTTTTCTTTTCTTTTTTTTTTTTTTTTTTTTAAAATTTTTTTTTTTTTTTTTTTTTTTTTTTTTTTTTTACAGATTCTGAATGTTTGCATTTATGAAAATCAGTTTTAAATGTGAAACATATACAGAAACTTTGAGATTATTTTGATCTGCAGTGCCATAATGCATAAACGATTGTACATGCAAATACAAAACACTCTTGGCAGCACACAGTGCTGATCGATGCTGCTCACTTTGCCTTTCCACTTATTCTCCAACTTAAACTGAAAAAGACAATCGGCATTTGGGAAACATGAAAATTCAGAAGCTGAAAGAAGAGTTTGTATTAAAATGCGCTGGTATTTTAATGAAAAAAAAGGACTTTTTCCCCACTCTGAGATTTAAGTTTGCATTCATACCTCTGTGAAAACACAAGTCTGAATTTTATGCAGAGGTTTGAAAGACAAATATTTGAAATAAGAAATAATAGAGGACAGAACCAATATTATTTTGTCTAGAAATTTAAGTTTTAACTCAGTGAATAGGGAACTTAAGAAGACAAAAAAGGAAAAAAAGAAAAAAAGGAAAATGAATGCCCACTCCCAGAAAAAAAAAGAAAGCTTTTGAGAGCTGGAGATCTCCATAGGAAACCTGGAACCAGAAAATGGAAACTGAAAGGTATTTTATACATGAACCCAGTTCCTCACTCACTCCTGGACAAGGGCACTCTAAAGGCAGTGTAATATTGTCTCTCAATAGTGGTCTCTGTAGTGCTGTGTATCAGTGGCAGAGTGTTCAATGGTTATCATTAATTTAGCATTCTCATTTGAAGGAACATAGCATGTTTTCCCTCTTGCCTTGTTGTTACCTCTTCAGATTAAACTTGGCATTATGTTGTACTTGTGAATGAATGAGACCTTGTTGTTCATTACTATGAAACAATATTAAATGTCATGTCAGCTTGAATTTAGAGACGTGAAATACCAGCTTTCGGCTCCACGAACAGTTTCTCCATGTTATACTTAATGCATTATGCAGAAGTAGAGTGCTGACTGCTGTTCAGTCTATTGTTCAATGACCTAGTTCTGTGCTGTGCCTGCTAGACTCAAGGAGAAAACATTGGGAGACTCTCTCCCAAAAGATGGTAGAAACTTGGAAATGTTCTTCAGGACAAAACACGGCCTTGACTCCTCATTTGCTCCACTTCCAACCTCTCCTGCTTTCCAATATTATTATTTTTCTATTGTCATTCTGTTTCAGCCATGAAACCCCATCAGGAAAAGTGAGGAATGTTTTGATTCCTCATGCTTTCGGTTCCTTCAGCCATGGATTTTTAAAAATTATTCTCTGTTTAATTTGCAGAGGAAAAGAAAGCTCAGTCTGACACTGGATTTGCCACAACAAGCAGCTGAGGCATTTCAGGTACTAAACACATTTCCAAAAGTTCCTCAGAATCTCCCAGTTGTCAGACAAAGTAACTTTGCATTTTGTATTTGGTTAATTACTTCACTTGTTTTCTTCTGTAAAATCCATGGTTGAAGAAGGAGCTTGCATACATAAAGGAACTCAAGAGAAGAGAAAGAGTTACAAATAAAATTTGACTGTAGAAAGGCACTACAATACTAGAGGCACAATATTTTGCTGAAAAATGTTGTACAATGTAACAATACACCTGAATCATCAGGATGGGATCTGGCTTACTTGTAGAGAGAATGAAAAATAACTTTATCAAGGACACTGTGTTCCATTGCAAAGGGCTGATTTGCAGTTGAGATAAAAACAAAGATCAGTGCTAAGAAAACAGCTTTTGGCACATTTATTTTCTCTTTCAAAATATTTGCACTAAAAGCTTTTTTTAAAGGATGTTAATACAGCACCTGCAGTATTCTTGGAAGAACAGCCTTTTAGTGTGTTTCAGAAAAAGAAGAAATACCTTTCTTCTATAAAAATCAACAGATCCAGCTACATATCAATATGCACATTTGGAATATCTTTCTAGTCATTCATTCCCTTTGATTTTACCAGAAAATATTCTCTTGCAAAAAAAAAAAAGGAAAAAAAAAAAGAAAAAAGAAAAAGAAGGAAAAAAGAAAAAGGAAAAGTTTCTGCAAGAACATCAATATTTTGACATGGAAGGAGAAATGGGAAAATTGTATAAGATTCAGAATCACTAAAATGAAAGCACTTATGCCATAAAAATACCTGCTCTTGTCAAACAAAGGAGCTGTATTTATAGTTATTTTATAACACCCTCCTAATTCATTAGATTCTTTAACAAAGATATATATATTTAGTCTTTGAAATGTCTTTTAAATTCATTCCTTTTCTTGCTTTTTTACTTAAAATAATCATCATAGTGATAGAAAAAAAATGGTCAATATTTGTATTGGGATTACACAAATTCAGAGGACTTTAAAAAATAGGAAAATCTTCCTTAATACTAAAAATGCTTTTATCTAGAAGATGCCTTTACAATTCCATGAAACACAAGAAATTCATATAACATTTATTATAAGAGAAGAAACTTGTCCCACTAAGCTCAGATCCTTTTCAGTGGGATTTGTCTTTGCCCCCATCTTTAACTCATCCTAGAGAAAATAGACTAAAAATCTTTTAAAAGTACATGTTTCCCCTAATATGACTGAGAGGAAGATTGATTCTCTACTTCATATTCCTAGATTTAAGAGAAAAAAAAAGACATTCCTTCATTAAAAATAAATGCTTATACATAGCTGCACAAACAAATATGTTACCTACACATTCATTACATCTGCACATGTGTACATCAACTACTGGATCTATTGCTGCCTGCCAAACCTCCATTAGCAGAAAATTTTGGTGAGTTTGTTATAAAGTGCACTGCTATGGACAGTGTAGGTGTTTTTTCTCCCCTGTGAAAAGCGCTTTTGACCCCTATTTTGAACAGATTTTTTTTCCCTATATTCGTGCAGGCTATGGAGATTATATTCTAGAGTTATGGTAAGTTTTTCCATTTAAATGTCAGAAAAAAGTTTTAGGATATGACACAGACAACCCTTTCTCATGACAAGAGCAACACAATCAGTTGGAGTTTGCATTCGGAAACTGAAAGCACTTCCCAACACAAATCAGATCCTTTGTGCTTCTTTATACTTTGAACATATAGTAAAAAGAATGTTTTCTTCAAAATGAGAAAAAGAAAAAAAAAAGGACCTTCTTAGCAGCCAAACCTTAATTTTCCATTCTGTGATATGATTAGGCACTTATTTATGCGTTGTCAGTCACAAACATGCAGAAAACGTAAAAGTTATTGAAAAAATTAAAGTCTGCTCAACTGTCTTGCAGGACTGTTGGTTCTCTAAGTGCTTTGAAATTATGATGTATGAGGTAGATGTTGCATATTAAATAAAGATATTTAAATTATAAAGCCCCCGTTAGTGAGAGCTGATGAATGTTAAATGTTATGAGCCACAAGGCTGTGGCATCCATCATATTCACATATTATCACAGTCAGTGATGGAGCAGCCCCAGTGATGACAGATAGACTGCTAGATAGTTATCCCTTATTTCCAGCGTCGCCAAGCAAGCCTTGCAACCCCTTGGGCATTATTTTTAGCTTTGCATTAAATTAGCAACTTTTCCGTCACGTTCTGCCAGAAAGTATCAATTCTTTCTTCACGTGTGGAAGGTAAGAAGAATGATTCAGTGAAGTGGGGAGTAAAGCAAAAGGAAGCCTTAGCCCCTGCCTCTGAAAAGGCTGCAAACTTCAAATGACTAGAAACAAATATAAAATTGTGATCTTGTGAAAGAACAGCAATGAAACAGTAAGCACACAATAATGGCTTTTCTCTGCACTTAGATAAAAGCTGAATTTTTGATGTGCACAGTATATTTTCATAAAATTTTATATACTATGTTTTATACACTTATTGGCTATTCCATAATAATGTGTGTGCTAACAGTAAAATTGCTCTTAAATTTATGTGTGTTATTTATACGTTCCCATGTAACAATGCTTTTTGTTGTAAAAAATATTCTGTTTATTAATGTAACTTTACAACCACAGCATCCAGAATCCGTGGTAAATTAATGACATTTTTATTATTTTATAGTGTCATTAAATTTTTACTGATCACTCCATCAAACAGAAGCAATAAAGGCCATAATGCAAACTGGGACACTTAGATCAGGGGAGCAGGAAGGCATTCCATATAGTCTGAAGTAAACTGCTTGCCATAAATGATATTTATACCATCTTTAAGGATGTGAGAATACTTGGACAAGTTTGGCAAAACTGTTTCTGTAGTACTGTGGATTGTGTACTTAAATAACAGTTTACTTGCCAGCGAGACAATTTTTTTTTCAAACCATATGCGAGAAGATGACTGATTGCATCCATCTCTTGAAAAATAATATATGAAACGTAATAATACACTGGGCACCCCTCCCTTCTGGATTACCAAGACTGATCTGACTATACCCATGCCTCAAATTATTTCAACATGCTTGCTTTTTCCACATCTGAAATGTATGCTTAGCCTGAAATGGAAAATGGCATGCATACTGATCGTTGTGTAAAAGATTTAAAATATATATCTTTTTTTGCAAACAAATACTTTTATTGAAGTAGACGTGTTTGGACAATGATGTAATACCTTTATTTCAATAGTCTAGCATGGAAGCAGTTACCCAACATCAATTTAAAGAGGCAGTTTCTAGAAATCAAATTAATATGGGTCATTCACAGAAGCCACAGAACATATGACTGAAGGGATATTATTTCTTCTGAGGACAGTGCTTTAGTTAGAATAACTACAAATAATTATCACATGTTGTCTTTATGTATGGAATGTATTTCAATTAAATTATTCTATACTAAACGTTCTAGTATCTTATTTGCTAACTGTGATCTATTCCCTTCATGTACCATGGACAGTAAACAACCAGCAAACAACTTAATGTATTCAAAAGATGAAAAGGACATTTTCAGTAGAATACAGAGAAAATTATTCCCAGTTTGAATGAGGAGGAATTACAACTCCTTTTTTCCCCCTCCCTGAAAACTCAAGATACAAATGCCCCAAGCTTTTCACCTTTTTCTTACTACTTTTTAACAGCTGGGACTGAAAAGTTAAATTACCCTCCACTTAGAATCTTTTGCAACGTTTTGGCACAGCAGGGATAATTACAAATTGACTTTCAGCCTTATCTCTGGATATTTTAGTTATTACGGGTGGGAAGTTTAAACATTAACCTTATTACAACAATGTCAATCATCCCACTGGTGTGCAGGCATGCAACTTCTGGAATTCTTTGGATGGCAGAGGAGATAAACACAATAGTGGCACTATTGTTACAATTAAAAACATGGCCCTTGGTTTTGCAGAACTGTGGTGAATTCCTAGGACCCATTTTCAATCTCATAGCACTGGGAGCTGCTCCAAAAAGCAGAAGAAATTAAATTAGCAAAGCAGGCAAACTTATTGTAGGAATGCTGTTATTTTAAGATATTACAAGATACAAGGTACAATCCTTTTCCAAGGATTTACAGGTTTTAGGACTGAAGGATATGCTGACACCTATGATGTTGACACAACCTGCCCTTTCTGTATTTTTTCTCTAAGTGAAACATCTGAATTCAAGATCTCAGGGACCAAGAGAGGCACAGTGAGTGATTTTTCACCCTGAAATACTGCTACTTCCAGGTTTTGAAGGTCCCTATGCTGTCCATAAACTGTTCCAGTAATATCTTTGAATACTGAACATACAGCATGGACCAGCATCCCTGCAACAGACTACAGATTTGTATCACATTGCAGTGCCTCAAAGCAAACAGCTTGCTTGAAAAGATGTGGGGAGAGAGAAGCCATAGGTCTCCTTTTAAATATATTCTTCCATCTTAAAGCATAACTGACAAGTAAGAGGTTAAAAGCAGATAACAGGGAGTTTACAGTAAACTTTCTTTGCCTGCCTGGCAAGCCTCAGCTGGCTTCCATGTGACAGTGTGACATGGGCAGGACCATCATAAGCAGAAAATACTCCAAAGTTGTTCAGAAACAGAATCTCACAGTGATTGTCACATTATGAAACTTCTTTTAAGAACCAGGTTCTGGAGTCAAAGTTGAGACTCGCAATTTCATCAAAATTTCAAGTGTCTAGAAAAAACTCTAGTCTAGAAACCAGTGGGCTAAAGCCACAAAAAATATCCCCAGATAAGTAAATACCAGTGCATATAGCCTACTTGTAAACACTGTCTTCAGCTAATTATTTTGGAAGCCTGATTTTAAGGATCAGAATTCCAAGAGCTTCTTCTCAGCTAGTGTGAGCAGTAGCCATCTTGATCTTGAACACAAATAAGAAGGATTTAAATGAATTCTCTGATGATCAGGAGCATTCAGCAGATACTAAGATGTTTATAGACATCAGTGCATGGAAGCCTGCTTTTAGTATGAAGTCTATCAATTCAAAACTACTTCTTAAAGGGAAAAAAAAAAAAAAAAAAGAACTGATAGCACATCTAAGAAAGCAAATATCCACCTAAGGAGAGTCTTATGCCCTCCTGCACATGAAATATTGCCATCTCCATAACTATTGCCATGCTTGCAGGGACTCCTAAGCTATGGATCTGCCCTGGTTAGATTACTTTCAACAGGATTACTGCATTTACTGAGCTCCCTTAACCAAATGCTTTATGTCTTTGTTCATATGGTTTTAATATGGTTTTAACCAATTGCAAGGTTATTTATAAGTTTGCAACTCCCCAGTAGTTAGAGTTATGAAGCGTTCAGACTTAAGCATATCCAGTTGTGTGGTAACCCAACTACTGCTTTCATGCGGTTTCCAACTTTTTATTCATGTACAAAGGCATCATGCATGGCAGCATCTGAGACCATTGTGATTAACTCTTTGTTTCAGCAGTAAACTCAGGCTGCAGCCTACAGTAAAATTACATACTGACTAAAAGGTAAACTTAAAAAGGAAATGGGAAAAAGAAAATCACACAAACTGTGAAATTCCACCACAGGCTGAGGAGAGATTAGTCCTTAAAAAACAAAGGGACAATCAATTAAATTAGCAGCTGGTAAATGAAAAGCAAACAAAAGGAGTTACTACTTTACACTTAGCATAATTCTCTATGAATGCTGTAGAATTTGCCAGGGGTCAGAAAGAGTCCAAAGCTTGGTCTGTCACTTGTTTCTAAAAAAGCTGGATAATTTTATGACTGTTAATAACATTTGTAGTAACACATGCTAAGGTAATCAAACCTCATGTTCCAGAGTGTAAGCTATTCAACTGTTGAGTCAAAGAGAAATCCCCTTGTCCTCTCTGTTACTCCCTTCCCTCCTGACCAACTCCACAGATGATTAACTGGGAGCCTTCTAGGGAGAGAAGTTAATTTTCTTTTGTAACATTGCTAAATTTAAGGAAGAGCTGGTAAATGATATAGATCAAATCTATAATCTACCTTGTAATTAGAAGGAATATGAACACAACCATTAAAAAAACCCCAACATTTTCATCTAATTAAACACATACATGTGCATTTTTGAGAGACAGACAAAAATAAACACAAATTACAATTGACATCCTTCCTTCTACTAGAAAATAGCAGGACTGTGGTTTGTTTTTTTTCTGTGCTGTAAAGTGACTAATGGAAGCAATTCAATAGCTACTCATGGACCTTTGGAATGTTCATTTAAATTTCTAACATTTGATTTACACAAATAAAAATGCAAGGATATGACAAAACAAAGGGGTTTTTCCTAGGCTAAATATTACAAAGGAATAAATGTATATCTATATTTAAGTTTAATTTAGCAGGTGGTTGGACCTTGTTGGTTATGGCCTCATTTTCATAAAGAATTTTAAAATGGACCCATTTAAATGCCATAAAAATGAACAAAAATGCTTTTACCAAATTTGGACAATTTGAAGATTCTGTACATATATCTGCATGTTTCCCCAGATTTTTATGCTTGTGACTAAATTTCATTGAAGGTATTCTCATGCATTAGAATCAGAACAGAATTTGGTTACTAGCTCAAAGCTGTGAATCTCTTTCTCTCTTAATCACCTAGTAATATATTCCAGGCTGAAAACCCAGTTTTAGCAGGAAGCCACAGCAGTGAAACAACCAGCACAAACTATTCTAGGTTCAGCACAACAATTTTTTTGGAAAGGAAAAAAAAAATGGAGAAAAGAAGTCACCAATTTCAATTTCATTGCGGTGTTCTGCAAACCTCAACAGCACAAAGATGTTGCTTGCAGCTGCTATCCACTCAGGGAGTTGGGACAATAAAGGCCTTTTTAAACATCCAGAAAACACACATCCAGACAGGTATGCACACATGTCACTGGTCAAAGATCTTCAGAAGCAATCTGATGCTCTTTTGTGAATAATATGCAAATTTAAGCACATATAAACCGATTTTTATAAGTTTAATTTTAAACCTATAAAAGCTAAGAGAAAGACAGATAATGTTCTCATAAATACTTCCAGTCCATTGATTCCACTGTTCCTTATGACAGGCACATGTCAGAGTTTTGGACACCTTCAGATAATGCTGGAAAAACCTTGATAAACCTCAAATACATGATGTAATAATCAATTATCAACTCTCAATCAATGCAACTTTTCCTACTCTACACATGGCTAGTAGTTAGAACAGTATAAAAGCAAATATTTCA